GCACACCGCTGATGTTTCGGTCAGAGGCTTGTCATCCCTCCGGAGGTTACGCTCCCACTTTCTGCGGAGATCGTCTTCTCTAGGAGCTGCAAACAACGATGCCTTCGGGGCGCCCGGGTAGCCGCTTCGGCAACCCGGAGCAAAACAGCGTGAATCCGTCCTCCGCTTCGACATGTCACGAGCTACATGTTTGTTGGTACGGAATACCTGAACAGGTAAAGACAGCTGCTCCACAACTGTCCGTGCGAGAAAATGCAGAGCAGAGTATACTGGTACACGTGCAGTACAGTAGCTGCAGACAAAGCGATGCGCAGGATACCGGCAGACGTGCTGAACTAACGCGCTGCATCACCAAGTGACCGCGCCTCGCCTAGGAAAAGGCGCAGTAGCGCCACAAGAAACCCTAGCGGCGGTCCGTGGTATTTCCGACCGCCAAGAGAGGCGGCGTGGCCTGGCGGTCGTGCCACTAGAGTACTTCTAGTTCACTATAGCTCTGGTGACACCGGCGCTTGATGGCGTGGGTGCGGCCACGGAGCAGTCAACCCGCATCGGAGACGCGATGCTCCATGCGGGGCATGGCCAGCCCGTCCAGCGAAGAGCGTGCGCCGAGACGCGATGCTCGACGCAACCGTGACCATTAGCCAGGCCACGTTCATCGCTGTGTCGAACGGCTGACCGTGGAGACGCCTCGCCGAGATCCGCGATGCCCTCGGCAAGGAAGAGAACAGCAGGCCAGGCCGCGCCCCGAGATGCAGTACTCGTGCCGGCAACGCCGCCCCAGCTGGTAGTTGGACGGCAGTAGCGTGGACGGCCGCGTTCCCTGGCCGGAACCTGGATCGCCGGCGTCCGACGATTCGACCCGCTGTCTCCCGTCTGCCGCTGCTTCGGCTCGTCCCCAGCCACAAAGCCCACTGCCACGTGATGGTCGCCCGTGGCCCAATCGTGGCACGCCACCTCTATGGGCCACCACAGGTCATCAGCTGATTCGCTGACACTCACGCGCACATTACACGCGCCTTGCCCCGCACTTCCGTCGTTGTCGTTTTCTTCACTCATCACAACCAGTCACCTACGAGATCCGCCCCATCTGTCCATCATCATCTACTATGCGGCCCAGTGACATCGTACACATCTCGCGGATCAAGCCCTACAATAATGCGTCAGATAACGACCTTTAAAGCACCGGGACGGTGCCTCCGCCGCCGGGGGTCATGTTACGTGCCAGTCCATGGAGTTGAAGAAGAAAAAGCAGATAGACTGGCACGAGCTAATCTGTGTGGCTGGCGGTGCTCGCCTAACCGGCTGTAAATACATCGGTGACTACCCCTCTGAGTCAGTCTCCTTCCCGTAACAATATTACATAAGGGGGGGGGGGGGGTTGAACAAGGATTCACAAAGGTAATTACAGAACAAGAACATACAAGAACACAGTACGATACAATTCAAGAATTGGAATTACAGGGCAATAATAATAACGGAACTCGTTATACAACTAATAGCATGATTCAAAGTGGCAAAAAAATGAGACAAAGGCAGCTGGCTACAAACAGAAATTACGACGGTGCGGTTGTTAAATGAGTTTCGAGTAAGGTTTTCAACTGCCGAGTATTACGTTCGCTTGCTATTGCACTTGGAAGCCGATTCTTATCCTCAATTGGCGTGAAGTTCGAATTAGTGGGAGAAGTAGGGAGCCATGTAAGTAAGAATAGTTGAAATACAGTTTGTGCAATAAACAAAGGCATGCTATTTTTCGTCTAAGATCCAAAGAGGTGAGAGACAGTGATGATTTCATAGTAGTAACACTTGTGCGAAAATTATATTGGGAGGTTATAAAACAAGCCGCGCGATTTTGAATGGCTTCAAGGACGTCCATTAAACAAGATTGGTGTGGATTCCAAATTGGAGAGGCATACTCGAGTTTACTACGGACGTAGGTTTCGTAGGCGAGTTTACGAACTCAGGCTGGGGAGCAGAATAGGAATCTTCTGATGAAACCTAATGTTTTGCATGAATCGGCAGTAAGCTGTGCGATATGGTCAGTCCATGTTAGGTTGCTGTTGAGGAGAACACCCAGGTATCGGTACGATTTTGCTAGAGCGAGATGGTTAGACTGCAGGGAATAAGTAAAATTTAGGTTTGAACGCTTACGGGACATTTGCATAGATTTTTACTTAGAAATAATAAGTTGCATCGTCCATAAATAACACCGATTTTCAATTACATTTAAAGCATTTCGGAAGGCAAGTTGATCAGAGCCATCACATATATGGCGGTAAACGACACAATCGTCGGCAAAGAGACGTATCGGAAATGTAACACTTGAAGGAAGGTCAATAATAAAAACTAGAAAGGGGAGAGGGCCAAGGACGGAACCTTGAGGTATACCAGATATTACATTTGTAGTCGAGGAACGGTGACCTCCGATGACTGTATTGGGATCGATTAGTGAGGAAGGCTTGTATACATGACAGTATGAGCGGGTCTATAGATTAAGGGAGGGAAGTTTAAGCATAAGTCTAAGTGAACATCCGAATGCAAAAATAAGAAGTGCAAGAATTAAGTAACCCGTGTAGAGAAACCACCAGGATGATAGATAGATGGATGCGAAACTTTATTTGAAGCCCTGAGGTGCACGACTCAACGTGAAGCGGGCCGTTCCCACATTGGGACAGTCAGGCCAAGCCTGACCAAGATTGTGCACTTGCATGCAAACAAAAGATGGAGGGTCCCCAAGTATTTTTAGGTATTTTATTTTATATACTGTTCTGTATCTTTTTATTGCTTATTTGCTCGATCATAACTTGCTGATTGCGAGTGATTGTACAAAATGCTGTTTCTTCATTTCGTCTGAGATGGGTATAACATGTTTTCTGTGTACCAGAATGTACTTCGGAGTAAAAGCCTCCGTCAGGCTATATAGCCTTTTGCTTTTGCCTCATTTTTTCTGCTATATGTACAAAAACATTCGTAGATTCCACGTACAGTGGGAATCGATGATATGCGAAGCACGAACGAGGAAGGTTGAATTGTCACATTAAAACCTGCACAACGTTACGCGGCGAACGTAAATTATGCCGTAGATTATTTCCATGTCAGGATTATGTTTGCGTCTGGCATTTGTGCTCAGTCGTCCAATCACGTCACTCAATACCAAATTTAGTATAGGAGAAGTTAGCGAAACGGCCGCGAGCATGCTATGAGCATGGTAGGTAGTCATGTTTCATATGACACGCATGCCACGATTATGTTCGCACCAGTCACATACCATGTCACTGATTCACGTCACGTAATACTAAATTTGGTGTACGTAAAACCAGCGAAACTACCGCGAGTGCCTCATGAGCGTGGAATGTAGTCATGTCTTACATGACACGCATGTCACGATTTCGACGGGAGGGCTTGTCACTTTTGTTTGTCATGCAGTCATGTTCTCACTTATGTTCGTCATACCAGGTTTGCGATATGTCACGTGAAGAAACTACCGCAGGAGCAGCAAGACCTCGACATGTAAATAATATCTTCATGACGTCATCATTTTCATGTTATGACTAGTCACTTATCCTCGTCGTACAATCATGTTATGCCCGTACCAATTTTGGTACAGATCGCATTATCCAAACGGCTAGGAGAGCTAAAAGTCTTAGGCGGCTGTAACGACAGAAACAGATAGATTTTCCTATCTTTGCTCGGCTACTCCTTAGGCCTATGCCACTGAGTTGAGAGATCTTGCACAATGCCTTGCCTTGGACCTATAATTATAAGATCTTATTTCTGAAGGTGTTTGTGTGCTCTGCTAAACCGCAGATAAACTCGAGAAGTCTCCATTCTTATGAACTGGTCGTTAGGGAAGCACCACCTTCGAGGATTTCTCGAACAGTGCCATGATGAAATGCACAACAAACATATACTTAGAAAAAAAAAAGAACAGTGTTTAGCCCAAGTAATTCAGCCGTTTGCTTGAAATACCGAGAAAGCGCCGCGTGAATCTCTCAAGTTTAGGCCGACAACCACTGCTTGGTTTAGGCCATATTAGTAATGAGTTAACGACTGCGCCGTTTAATTGGGTGGGTTAAAGGTCTGAAAATTGGGCGCGCAGGTTGCTTATTACACGCGAAGACTCTCAATCTCACTGTATGCAAGGCACGAAAATTATTGGGGAAATTAGAGAGGCGTTCACTTTCCATGCACTGCTGGAAGAGGCACGCACTAACGAGAAAACTATGCGCTGTAAATCTGTCGGAGGGAAGCGCGGCACTTGCCGCGAATCCTGTATGCGCCGTTTAATGAGCAGGTATTTTAGGAAGCCCCAGTAGAGGCCTGGGAACGGAAACTCGCAATTATACGCAGCCACCGCATGTACAATCAACCGCTGTTCCAAGTGAACACTCATATATTTCGAAGATAGTCTGAGTTATGGGAGAAAACTTTTCAGATATATTAATATATATTTTCACACAGTGCGCATAACTTTATTTCATAAGAAACTTTTGTTCGCAGTCTTTCATACAGCGCGTATCAGTGGACTAGAACCACCTTCCTAGACCGACAGCAAGCATATCCCCGACCAGTGGCTTATCTTATTGAGATTTTCTATATTTCTTTATTTAGGGGGGTGGGGGTGGGTGGGAGAGGGGCTACACCATAGTTTATGTACATTCATGCGTGTGTTTGCCTGTATGCCTGTATATACACACGTGCGACTTCGAAAAGGGAGGGGGCTTAAACACTTCCAATCTCCAGTCGCCGCCACGCCGGTGCACAAGACAGTCCTTGTTCAGGTAACAACTTGACTAACATTGCATACTGAAACTGGCAAAAATACGTCTTCTTCTGTATTATCTTTTTTGTTACTGCTCCCAGCAATTACTATATTAGGTCTTATGTTTAATAAAGAAACACGAGGTTTGCACTTCCACCCGAGGAAGACGCAGTGTATGTTTATAAGCTGTTGTTTTTCTGGAAAACTTCCGCCAGCTCCAACGCTCACAATTTTCGTGCAGGCGTCGCACTTCTTTGGTGCTGCCAATGGCACGGCACCGCCTGTGGGGCCGTTTCTGTGGGGCCGCATCGGACCGCACCACGAGATCCCGTGACGCGGCCGGAACGGGCCGTTCCGGCTCGTGCCAGAATGGGGAGGTGTCGGAGTGCGTCAGCAAGCTGGACCTGCTGTCTCAAAACCAGAGCCTCGCCTTCGCTACTACCGAGGCCGAGCTGAAACGCGTCTGCTCGTAAGCACTGCAACTAAGACCGCTAAGGAACGCCGAAAGTGAACCAATGAAGCAGTGTAGATTATAAATTGCACTTGTTCAATTATTGTACAGTTACACAAATATTAAAGGTTATACATAATTGCATAGTTATAATATAACGTTGACCATGTGGCTGCTTGGGCTGGTTGGTACTGCAGTGTCGACACTGACACCACTGGTAAATTTTCGGATTTTCATGTGGCTCCAAGGCTTTGCCTCAACATATTCCGCTACTGTCGCATTTAACCGATGTGACCTACTGAGGTGTTCTACAGTGGTTGTGGTACTCGACTGCTCACCCGCAGGTCGCGGGATTGAATCCCGGCTGCGGCGGCTGCATTTCCGATAGAGGCAGAAATGCTTGAAACCAGTGGGCTTAGTTTTAGTTGCACTGTAAAGAACACCAGGTGGCCTAAGCTTCCGGAGCACTCCACTACGGCGTCTCTAATAATGATGTCGTGGCTTCGAGATTATTATACTCTAACTACTCTAATGACGTTAATTTATCCGCGATTCATTCGTAATTTATGCGTTCTTTAGAGGAGAAAAGCATGGCCAGAGTTAATTTTTCAAATTTCAAGCTGGAATCTTAGTGGCGTGACGTCACAGATTTCAAGGTACATTTTCCCGATTTTTAGCGACATTTGATAAACGAAGTTTCTGGGAACTATTGTTAAGTCTGCGCCTTCTCTGCCCTTCCCCACCCCCTTTCTCTGAGCTCAATATACTGCATTTTCACGGATCAGGGCTTGTGTAGGCCTTAATAAACACCGTCAATATCTATGATGTCATGGTGATCGGTGCGAGAATATCAAGGGGGCGGCGCCATACGCACTTTTAACGCGATAGCGTTAAAGAGCTCGTGTCGCGGAAATTCCGCCAGCGGCGTCGGCTCCGTTGGTTGTGAGTAAAAAATAGTCCGTGAGCGAGAAAGCTCGTTACAGAGATCGCCTCGGGAGGCTATTACTTGTCCACGCACGCGCGCGTGATCACACTGAAAAACCGCGCATTCGAAGAAAAAAAAGAGAAAAAAGTGCTCAAGGTCACGAAGCGCGGGTGACGTAGTTTCTTTGCCCTGCCACCCCTCTCTGTTTAGCTTCCAGCGCTTTCGTCGGGACGAGAGAAGAGAGAATGCAATTACAGCATGCGACAAACCTTTGTGACTCCACTCGCGCTGGATGGTTTCTTAAAATTTTTTGGGCGTTGAATTCGTGAGCCGATAAGCTCTTTTTGTGAATTCATTCTATGGTTACTTGAAAAAGTGTTTCATGGCCCTTTCAATGCATTTTGTTCGACAGGTGTCACGACGAGAACGAGACCGTTCGGCCATTTGTAAGCGCATTTGGGAGGTCTCAAACTACGTCGAAAAAGGCCTAGATAGTGCAGCCATCGTTGCTAAAAACACACAGAAACTTTCAAACAGCTCTAAAAATAGACAATTATGTCCATCTAGTGGAAAACATATCACGCCTTTCAAGAAGCGTTGATCAAGCAAACAGCAAACACTAGATAATGTGCTGCCATCTGTGAGGCATTGTGAGACTCTTTATCGCCTTCGAGATGGTGAGCTCGTGGCGTGTATCTTAGAGGACATGCGACTCTTCGTTTAGATCAAAAACCTGTATGTACCGTTCGCGTGCGCGCGCTGGTACAATCTACAGTATGCGCGTGTGTGTGCGTGCGTGTGTGTGTATGTAACAAAACATATTAATAAGTGTGCCCTTAGCGGTTGAAGGGCGCACTAGGGGCAGGATTTCCCTATCGCGTTCAACTCTTACCTCCATATTCTGAAACGTCCCTTCACTCAACGCTTCACCTTGACTTGAGAAAATTGATTGCAGTGCCGTCTCTAGGCAGAGCAAGTCGCCCAATATCAGGGATAATCTGCAGCGATTCTCGAGAAGCGCAGCGTCATTTTTAGACGAGCGGCGGCGCTGTGCTCAGCTCGTTCTAGTGAAGGACGAGATTCGAGTCGAGGAGCTTTAGTGAATACGGGGGTTAAAGGCGAAGCTTAAGGGTCCCCTGTTTTTTTATTCTCGCATGTGGTTTTTCGCTAATGTATTTGCTCGCGCAAGAGTGGTGGTTTTGTATAGTGAAAAAAAAATGTATTAGTACGAAAATAATATTTTCAGCTACTTCCTAAAGGGCCCTGACACATATTTTTTATCACCATATGTAGCAATCGAGTGTGTTGAGTGGTGAATACCGAGACGAAGGCAAAAATACTGATGGAAATTCAGTTACGAAAAGTGAAGTTTTTCATCTTTAAAGCTTAAGGATCCTTGTGGTGGTGGTGGTAGTGGTTAGAAGAAGAAAAAGGCACCTAATTTCTGCAGCCCGGTAGGCAGCACGGCGCAGTGCCTACGGATCGTGGCCAGTATGCATTACTATTGTATAACACTTGTTTTCATTTGAATTTTACGCTACTTGTGTGTTTAGACTGAACTGGCTAATGTGTCTTTTTTGTTAATGGTTAACGCCCAGGCTGATCATGTAATACTGGTTTGGCATAATGTGACCAAAGTACTTCACAATATGTATCCGCCTGTACAACGGCTCTGAATGTCAAAAAAGTGGGACTCGGGTCCTTTGTGAGGTCATTGTAGCCTTTCTGTTGCTTCTCGTTTTTTTTCCCCCTTCAAGAGCCCCAGCAGTGACGTTTGCATTCGCATTTCGCTGGGCCACTAACGCCACTGGTTGCTTCCCAGCGTAGAGTTTCCTATAAAGGCACTAAAGGGAACTCTGGCGCGATTGTCTATGGGAGGTGTAGCACCTGAAGCTTCGGCCAGCATTCGAATAATGGGTAGTACATGGATTTGTCTGAACTTTGTTCTTTGAACTCCGTTTCGTTCCGTGCAGTTTGGAGCCACATTGCTGCAAGACGGAAGTACAGGAAGTGTTAAGCAGCTTCCCTTCAGCAACTTCGCATTTGAGGTTCACCAATGCCAATCGGCCCAAGAAGCTCACCAGGGTTGCCTCTAATTTTTTAGTGAAACTCACCAAACCACGAGCGAAACGTCGCCAAAAGTCGCCATTCTTCAAATTTCGCCGAAAAAGTCGCAACTCCACATATGTGCGGTGCGCCTAGTAATGAATTGCTAATTATGTATATCCACGTGGAGTACAGTACCATTCGTAACCCCTTTATTATTATATTGACGTTTTTTAATGCCATTTGCATCCCAGGGTTCACCGTGCGAGCACTGAGAAAGGGCACGCATGCACCAACAGCAGCGTCCCTGAATGCTAGCGCCTCATAAGAAAAGCTTGCGATGGTTTCAATTGTATCGGATACAGGGCGAACAGTCGCTACAACGAGAGAAGGATGGCGTGCTCAGCCTTCCTGCAAATTTAGAGAACTTCACTGCAGTGGAAGCATGTATTTGATGATCAAATAACTTCATTACAAAACAACGGTAATAAATTGGAAAGTATTGTGTAACAACCACCATGACCGCACTATGTTTTTTTCTAGGGTCATGCTTAAGCTGCACATTCACCTCAGTGCACTTTCTGAAGGCTGTCCAAAAAGCCGACTCTTTGGCCGGCGCGAAAATAATGTTAATAGCAAATATAAACTCTACATACCATATTAGGGTAACTATAGCAGGAAGGAAGTCGACAAGCTACTTAGAACAGTTGGAGATGTGGTAGGAATACGTGGCCTAACCATCACCTAACCACTTCAGAGAACAAACTTTGAAAAAGCCAAAATCTCTTGAAGCACCTAAAGAACTTAGTACACACCACCACCTCGCGGCACGCCAAAGTTCCACTGACCTGAATTGTGCGGGGAGGTTTGTGGCGGATGCACCATTGTGCCAGTGCCTTCAGAATCTTGGTGAATTGAGGACATACGTGCAAGGAACGTGACAGACGTACTGAATTTCGTGTAAAATGCACCTCCTTCTGTTGCGTATAAAGTACTAAAGATAAAAAACTCTTATCGCCAGTTCGTTTTGAAGACACTGAGAATAGAATGCATAACTCAGTCGAGACCTAAGCCGAAAATCGCCATAATATCCGTATGCCATTTATAAATTCAGGCCACCGTGGGCCTGTCCAATTCACCTATTTCTTGCTTTCTTTCTCTCATTCTTTCATTCTTTCATTCTTTTTTTCATTCTTCCATTCTCTAATTCTCCCATTCTTTCTTTCACTCTCTCTTTCATTCTCTTTCTTTCATTCTTTCTTTCATTCTCTCTTTCATTCTCTCTCTCTCTCTTGCTCTCTTTCTCTCTTTCATTCTCGCTTTCATTCTTCCTTTCATTCTTCCTTTCATCTTCTATTATCTCTCTCATTCTTTCATTTTATCTGTCTTTCTTTTTCTTTCATTCTCTCTGTCTCTCTCGTTTTCTCTCTTTTTCTCTCTCTCTTTCATCCCCTCTCTCTTTAATCCTTTTCTCTCTTTCATTATTTCTCTTTCTCTCTTTTAATCTCTCTTTCTCTCTCTTTTAATCTCTCTTTCTCTCTCTTTCTCTCTCTTTCTCTCTCTTTCTCTCTGTTTCGTAGCCACCTGACCGGTGCCTTGGACTGCGTGAATGCTTTCACGCGGCGCTGCTTCAATGAAAAGCAGCAGGACGTCTACAAGCGGCTCACCAGCGGTGCAGCTCAGCTCATCGAAGACTTCTGCCGAGAGGGGTCTCCATTTAGACTGAGTGAGTGGTACACAAGTCGTGCGACACTAAAGTCGTCTGATAACCTTTGCTGGGTTTTTGCTACGTTATAGAGAGTTACTTAAGCTTTCGTTCTCTAACTGCGGATGTGTGCGCTGTACGTGAGCGAGACAAATTTCAGTTGTCGAAATACATTTAGAGCTGGCGTTGCCTCCTCGCTGTATACGTGTTCATCTAATCCCCTTACGGAAGATCCTCGTCACCTAGGTGTAATTCCCATCACTTACGCGCTATGTGTAACATATGATTGCTGGTACTTCAGTCTCGTGCTACAAGTTACAAGACTAGCTGAAAAATCCGTTAAGAGAGAGAGAGTGTGCGCTCCAACCGACGGTTCCACATGTGGACTTGTCATGGCTGTAGAACTGATTACTTTAGTGGTAGCACATGTGCTTTGTACCGTCTCCCTCTTTTGTTTGGGTTGAACGAGAGCGTACAAAGCGTTAAGAATATCAGTTCCAGGCGTGCAAGTATACTTGTCAAAGCGTCGGCTTCCCCACCGCTGTTTACGGACTTTTCACCGCAAGCTTCCATAACGCCCTTCTGGACGTTCGGTGTGCATCTTTCTCTGTTCTTGTTTTGTTCCGCTACATTGTGTATTGAAGCAAAAGCAAGTAGCCCGTATTTTTCCTTTAACTGCAATACTGAATTACCGTAACGTGGCATAGAACTGCTTGCCGCTTATTATCGCCTTCTATATCCGAATATATTGTTTCCGTAGTCTTTTTTCATGCCATGCCACACACTTTATAGCGGGAGGTGGTGCGTGTCCTCAACGAGGGCCGATGTTGGCGCCGCTGTTGTCCTCCGCCACCACCGTCGAATGTGTCTAACTGTTACGGCACTAAATTAAAAAAAATAAAATAAATAAAAACACGCCGGATAGAATGGGGTATGGACACATGCCCCCTGCGTGTTTGCCCAGTATTCTACTAGAAAACAACGCCTGTGCTTGAAACTGCGTGGAAAACTGACCCTATGCAGGCTTCAGGTTGGTTAATGAATCACGTTCACGTGTGCACTATAATGGTCCAGAATAGTAAAGCTGCAACCTGGTACCACACAGTGTGAATTGTAGAACTAGGGGGTCGTTTAATGCTTCCTAATGATCACAAAGCGATCAGACAATTATTTTTGTAGTTAGCCGCAGCATCAACAAACTGTACATAATGCCTTACTGGTGTGTAACGGGTGCCACATCTCTCCGATGAATGACGAATTAGTATTCGTCATTCATCAGTATGTCCGATGAATGACAAATACTAATAAAAGTGTTCGTGCTTCTCTACTTCAAGAGCATTGGGATGACTTATGATGTAGTGCATGGTGCCCTGAATGTTTACTTGTAGTTTCCCAAAAAGTGTTTAAGAAAAATCTTTTGAAAGCCCATTTTTACAGCTTTCGCTATGCTGCGTTGTTCGCGCAGGCCTGACGTTTTTGTTTTCTTTTTGCAGCATTACGCTTTTAAGTTTACCGACGTCTACAGAGGGCACGTTGTGTCTCTCCCGTCCTTGCTATCTGTGTTGCGAACTCTCACAGCTCGAGTCGCTACTAGACCTATTGAGCCAACAAATATTTAAAGTTGCGACTTGTGAAAAACAATCGCAAACAGCCATAAGCCACTCAGACTGATAACCAAATGCCTGTCGTTACCCGCAATGCCTGTTTATGTTGTCACGCTCACAATATGTCTGCAGTTGACAGAAAGTACTTCCGCTTAATTACACAGACTTGCACATTTCGATAGCCCCATAAGTGCCCATCTAATTCAGATACTTTTTTTAATTTAATAAAAAAATTCTCGATAATTTATTGACTCCTTTCTCATCTCAGCCATTGTTATGGTTGTGTACAAACAAGTTTGTGAACCCGGTGTGGGCTAGATGTAAAATAACTTGTGAACATCAGTATATTATAGTAGACTGATCTCCAGTATATATACGTGCTTAAAAATTGAGTAAGTAAACAGTTTGTCGAAGTGCGCTTGTTGACTAGTAACATTTTTGACGAGGTACCATTTCGACATCCCCACTTTTTTCTCATTGTCTCCGGTGTGTTTACGTACATGCACAGCCTACCTTAAACACTCGAAATGCTACAAGGAGCTGCAAGACGACTACAACAAGTGCGCGTCCATCTATGTGGCTCAGCGGGCGGAGACACAAGTACAGACGATGAGTGCCCAGGACAAGATACGCAACTCCTGTTGGTACGTTGAAGCAGAATGCATTTTTATGCTTGCCTTTTTAAGGGTGGTATGATGGGACGAGTGGAACTCTGCGTCACACGCATCGCGAAATGAGGGCAGCTTTCACTCTGACCTCTTTTTTGCAGTACCACTAAAGATAGCAAGTTATTTTTTCTTACAAGTATACAGCCTTTGCATTATTTCATGCTTGATTATCATACGCAGTAAATTTTATTTCTGAACCGTAAAAAAGGGCAAATTCAACGACAAGGGCTCGTCTGTTTATTCCAAATTCCAAACTATAACGCGATGTTCCCACACCCGAACGCTAGTGATATTTACTTACCCGAAAGAGCCGGACACAGGAGGCACATGCTTTTGGTTCTAATGAAGTTTCGTCATCTCACCGGAGTAGAATGCAAATGGCGAAATATGCGGCCGAAAGTAATTTTGATAACGCAGAACGTGTTGCTTCTAACTGCGGCCAACTTCAGCCTGCTACGCCTTTAATAGCACTCGAATGTGGCGGACAACATTGACTAGGCCAAATACGACTTCGGCAAAAAGTTTTTTTTGTTATCCTTCATCTCATTCAAAAAGAGAGAGAGAAAAAAAAAGCTGGATATCTCAACATACTTACAAAGCTTTTTCAAGTAAAATAATGACTAATTAGTAAAAATCAACCTATTTTCGTACTGAGTAGTATGTGGAAGTGTTTTGGAGCTCTAATTGTGACATGTTTCTATATGGTATGGTTTCGCAAAGGCAGTGGCCCTCTTAGCCGCACTTGGTCCGCCTAGCAATCGCCGAGATAACGAAATCATAGAGCACTGACCTGCCCGGATGTCTACGAGAGCCGCTATGGGAGCGTTGCTGCGGTTTCTTGAGAAACAGGACAGAACGACGTGCTTTAAGAGGTAATGAACGGGCTTCAACTTGCCAAGACTCCGATATTATCATGAGAGACGTCGTTGGGCAGGGCTCCGGAATTCCTGTTGTTTCGCGCTCTGTAACGGGCACCGAAATCTAAGTCATAATCATCATCATCATGATCAGCCTGACTACGTCCACTGCAGGACAAAGGCCTCTCCCATGTTCCGCCAGTTAACCCGGTCCTGTGCTTGCTGCTGCAAATTTATACCCGCAAACTTCTTAATCTCATCTGCCCACCTAACCTTCCGTCTCCACCTAACCCGCTTGCCTTTGTAGGAATTCAGTTAATTACCCTTAATGACCAGCGGTTATCCCGTCTCTGTGCTACATGCCCGAACCATGTCTATTTCTTCTTCTTGATTTCAACTATAATATCCTTAACCCCCATTTGTTCCCTAATCCACTCTGTTCTCTTCTTGTCTCTTAAGGTTACACCTACCATTTTCCTTTCCATTGCTTGCTGCATAGTCCTCAATTTAAGCTGAACCTTCTTTGTAAGTCTCCAGATTTCTGTTCCGTAGCTAAGTACCGGCAAGATGCAGCTGTTATATACCTTCCTCTTGAGGGATAGTGGTAATCTACCTGTCATGATTTGAGAGTGCTTGCCAAATGTGCTCCACCACATTCTTATTCTTCTAGTTACTTCAATCTCGTGGTTCGGCTCCGCGGTTATTATCTGCCCTAAGTGGACAGTTTTTTACAACTTGAAGTGCAGTATTATCTATCTCGAAGCGCTGCTATTTTCCGAGGTTGTTGTACACTACTTTGATTTTCTGCAGATTAATTTTAAGACCCACCTTTCTGCTCTCCTAGTCTAGCTCCGTAATCACGAGTTGCAATTCGTCCCCTGAGTTACTCAGCAATGCAATGTTATAGGCGAAACGCAGGTTACTAAGGCACTCTCCATTAACTCTTATCCCTAACTGTTCCCATTCTAGGCTTCTGAAAACCTCCTGTAAGCACGCGGTATATAGAATTGGGGAGATTGTGTACCCCTGCCTTACACCCTTCATGATTGGTAATCTGTTGCTTTCTTTATGAAGCACTAGGTAGCAGTTGATCTCCTGATTTATGTGCAAGGTACTTTAACATTTTCGCCTTCATTGCGAATGCGTCTGATGCGGCCTGGAGATACCTCGAGTTTCCGATGAGCAATCAAGCTTGAGGTTTTTCGAGATTTCAGAGACGATGTTCTTGGGTTTCTTTTACAGTATAGTATAGTATCGTATAGTATAGTATAGTATCGTATAGTATAGTATAGTATCGTATAGTATAACCGGATATAGCCTAATACGGTATACTATAGTATAGTATACCGTACTATCCGGTTATACTATACCATGGAAGAGGAAATGAGTGTCAATGAATGGCAAGAGTTTACACTCACCTTCTAATAAGTTTTGCAAAGGAACTGCGTATGTATAGTTGCCACGAAAAGGGCTCTGTGCTCCTCCAAAAGACTAAATGTGCGCAAACTATTATACACGGCTGGGCAATATGGGGAACTTTCCTCCTTCGGAAGTGTTTTGCACTGTTGGAATGTTCGCGCCGTGTGCTAACGACCCATTTGTGCCTACACAAGCCTGTTTCCTATCAGATCGTGCCGTAGCGTGGTGTAGTGTAGTAGTTAGCGTACGCGCACACTGATTGAGTGGTTGCGCCCCGTGTGTTTGCTGCAAAATTCCTGAAATTTATTTCTGAATGTGTTGCTTGCATATCAATCGCACATCTAATCAGACGCCTGGATGCACTTCGAAAAGTTGGTTATGTCAACCAAAAACTGATTTTTCTTTTGCTATCTGTTCCCCCGCCGCGGTGGTCTAGTGGCTAAGGCACTCAGCTGCTGACTCCCAGGTCGCGGGATCGAAACTCGGCTGCGGTGGCTGCATTTTCGATTGATGCGAAAATTCTGTAGGCCCGTGTGGCCAGATTTGGGCGCACTTGAAAGAACCTCAAGTGGCAGAAATTTCCGGAGCCCTCCACTACGGCGTCTCTCATATGTGGTGGTTTCGGGACTTTATACTCGACATAAACGACTTCGAAGTGTAGGTGTAAACTTTTCTCTTTCTTTCGCGCCCTTGTCCCCTTCCACTGTGCTCGATGCGCAACCGGATATTCGATCTTCTCTATATCACAAAAACAATGCTTCTTTGTCGGTGCCTCTCTCTCGCAGTCAAATGGATGGCTACAAGCAGTGTGCCAAAACAGCTGTGCTTCGACATTGCGACGTGGAAGCAGCTGAACTAGCCGAAGACATCATCGTCAAGGCTGGCGGCTACCTCGTGACCACGCACTGTTCCGGTTACCGCATTGACGAGCCCAGTTGCCGCGGGTGTTCCGCGCGTGTGGCCATCGCGCTGTCGGCCACCGTGGCAGTGATGGCGGGGCTGCACCTGCTCCCAAGAACACTCTGAGAGCCGTTCTTACATGATCGGGAAACTACTCAGGCTACAGGGAAGACTTCTACTTGCTGCTCCTGCCGTATTGGGCTACGGTTGCGTTGATTTATGAGAAAATGGCCCCCTGAGTGCATTCTCAGCCTCACCTGAGCTTCGCTTAGTGCTTTTATTTGATTTTCGTTCCGTCATAGTTAACAGCAAGAATATAACCTGGGGCTGCGATGACCAGCACTGGATGTGCAAGGGCTTCTTTCACTTGCTGCCCCGAGACTATCTGTAAACTTGCGCAGAAGCATGAATTGTCATGTTTAGAATCACTTCATCATCGACGCAAGCGTGAGTGACGACACAATCGAGTACTTCGTGCTCTGAGGCCTCGAGGCAGCCAATGCTAACGTCGGAGGTATCGATATCCAGCTTGTTTTTGAGGCTATACAGTCGAACCTAGCCCGGTGAGTTGCCACAGTGATAATATTCGTAATAATTTATTGAAACACTTGTCTATATGCTCCGATCATCCGCAGAGACGTTGGTTTTGTTACCTGTGTTTCATGTTGCCTAGGATATATTCAACAATATAAATAAAATTCACGTCCTGCAAATAGAAGACATCGCTCTAACAGGTGGGCGTAAGCGATTCAATACTGCAGACCACCGCATATCCAAAGAACTACGTTACTTTATTTCATTTCGAGCGAATTGCAAGCAAGCAAGCAAGGAAACAAAGAAACGAAAAATTCTACTGCCTCTAACGTAACTTTTCGAACACCAGCTTCCGAGCTCCAATGTTTTCGCATGGGACGCTTTCGATAGACATACTGCAATGAACCACTATAAATTTCCTACTGCAATGGCCAGATGTACTCTTGTTTCAAGTAAAGAATATAGAAGCTTTGTTTTGTCTATATACTATATATGTTGGAATGAATTCAGAAACGAACTATGAGTTTCTGTGCGTGTTCTACTCTGTTCCCGTTCAGTCATGCTATTCAAGTAGTCATTATAAACCAACTAGCCCGCTCGTTGGCCAATTTCATTTAGAAGCTACTTAAGGTATTCCAGCTTTGTGACATCGTGTCGGGTTGCTTATTGAACGAAAACAAAAGAAAACAATTGCTAAGAACGTATGAACGAAATGAAGATGATAAAGTGAAAGGCCTATTATACACTAACTAACCGTAAATCCATTATACAGACTTTCGAAAGAGCTTATTTGACGACTGTAAGTTGCACCCTAATCAGCTGGATAGCGAGAGGCTGCTTAGAAACGTCAACTTGTGTTTAAAGATCATGATCATTTGGAATAAGTATCAAATAGATAATCATCGAGGCCCGTGTATCTAAATTTAGGCGCGTGTTGAAGAACCTCTGGTGACCGAAATTTCCGGAGCCCTCAACTACAGCATATCTTATAATCATACCGTGCTTTTGGGCCACTAAAACGCGGAAGTCATGTTCATTAGGTAACCGAAAGTTAATGTGCACTCAAACCATGTGCAACTGAAAACTGCGATACTTTTGTGTTTAACAGTTTTTTTTTCGTCGTTAAGGATCCCAGGTGTTTTTTTTTTTTCGGGAGCAGCTACCATTTTGTCCAGTACCACCAGCTCTCGAGAGAACGTCGTCCTTGGTACCGAGCCACTAGTGCCAACTCTGCTGACAACAGTTTTGTCGGCTTCCTGTGTTGTGTGACGCGATAGACTAAAGACAAAGTGGTGGCCAAACAAACGCAGCGCATATGAAATGAACGCTTTCCTCGTGTGAAGCATCGTGCCAAGTGAGTGGTTCCACGAGTGGAGTGATTGTGGACAGTGCGGTTGTGCCCTCTGGAACGTCGTTGGTGTGTCGAATGTGCTTCGAAGATATTCCGGAGCGGCGCGAACTTGTGCCGCATCTAAGCTACAAGACGCGCTTTCTCCACAGTGGACTACAGGGGAGACTGCGAGGCCACCCTGACGCAGAATTTCCAGTGTGTTTCCCGAAAGAAAAAGCTTTACAGTGCCCCTTTGGTTGTTGTGTTTTGTTACTTGTAGGCTTGCGTTGAAGAGCTTCCGTAAGACTGATTGTTATCCCAGTAGTTCCCGCTTTAGTACTGAGAAAGTTTTAGGCTATTGAACAGGAACACTAATTAACAAGGTGCACAGAAACAACACCTAAAAACCGTTTATCACCACAGCGCTCAAAATCTTTGTTGCGCGTGTGCAGTGACAATACCGGAACACCATAAAAACACCGTGAGACAATTAACAGTGCTCCCATTCAAGGCAGCTTCGTTCGTTCGTGCCAGTTTAATGTGCTCCGTATATGTATATAGTGACAATTAAAGTTGCACAGATCTCCATTTAAAAAAGTGTCCCTTTTTATTGGTTTTGGTGATTCTTGAATTGGCTCCAGAGTTCACAGATCCTAACGAGCCAGCAAGTAAAATATTCATCGCAAAATAAGCCCGAATAAGGTGGTAATTCAGTGAATATTCTCGTTCATAAAAAATTTTAATGGCGTTAAAAAAGTTGCTCAATAACGAAGGAGATTTGAAAAAATATACTTTAATAACTTTGTACAGTAATGATCTGAGCAACTATGAACGTTTTTACTCCTCAACATTACCTCCAGCTAGGGTCGTCTCCATTTGGTGTAATAAACGTTTGCTAGTGCATGATTAACGACACTTTTTGATTCCCTCCACGTATGTTGTAACTTCAACACTCAGCTACTTAATGTCATCGACAAGTGCGCTATCGGTGAACATGATCATTAATAAAGTAACTATTTTTCCGGGGAAACTTAAGTAAGCCAAAGAAACGCGACAAGAGACTATAAAGTTCTACTAGTGCCTCGTCGAAAAAGAAGCCCAAGTCCGCTTATTATAAGCGGAACCAATCGGCAGATATGTAGCTCTCCTTAAATATATAAGTCATCATCGAACTCTTTTCAGAGAGTCGTAGAAGGTGTAACTCTGCAAGCAGAGTGAACGTGTATCCTTGAACGGAGTTATAGTAAGCTACAGGTGAAAGCTCACCGAGAACCATACGAGGTACTATTTTTTTGTCTCACACTGTAGCTGGAGAAAGTTTAAAAATACTCTGCTGAACTTTACGTATTATACACGTATTGAAAACTTAGGAGACTGAAATTTCGGATTGAATCAAGTTGGTGTACCAAGTAAGTTTAGCCGTAGAAAGCATAGCAGCGCACTTATGTGACTTTCATAGTGATTTGAGAATGCAATGTCACTGAGGAAATGTTGTGCAGTGGACAATTAGGCGCCAAAGTAGACACGCGTTCATTTATGAAACACCGATGTTGCTGTGAATTATTTTATACGCAATAACTATCGGTCGGAAGTTGTTTGGCAAAATGTCGTAGCACTTGTTCTCACGGAACTGCGATTGAACGATTTTACATACCATCGACTTCCTATTGTTGTGGAAGATGGACAGTGAAGTAATAAATGCTTTGTATCACTTGTTTATTTACAATATTGGAGTAGTGCTTGTGGATACACGTGCCAGAAAACACTACTGCTGCTGTAATTACTGCTGCTGTCAAACAAGAAAAAAAAAACTAGAAACAAGAAAACAGAAAAAATAAATATAAAGCAACACTAGAGGGGACACTGGCGCTGCGATCGTTCTGCGACCATCGGAATTATGGGTATGACATAGAATTGCCTGATCTTCGTACTTGCGGGTGGTGAACACACTTGTGGCTTCATTTATTGCTGCGTCTTGATTTCGTTTCGAATGAAAGAACAAACCGTTTTTCACTTCGTGACCCGATTCGAAGTGGTAAGTCTAGAAGATTAAGGTGGTGACGTGTAACTGCCGAAGATTTGCCAATTGTTGCGTCGTGTCAAAGCAAGCTTCAAACCACGCGAAGCCAGAGCGGACGTAAAGCATGAAGACTAGACAAATTCATGTCATACCCATAATTTTCACGCTCACTGAAGCGCGTTAAGTGGCCGCTCCTATAGACACTGGCGCCAGAGTTACCTCAAGTGTGTAAAACTCTTTGACTTACAATAAACCTAGATGAGAAAAAGAAAGAAATGAAAAGGAAAAACAAGGATAACTACGTTAGCTCACCAAATTATAGAATCAATTCTTGAAGAATTTTCTCGAGTGGGTATGAGTCATTTTTGGGGCATCATCATCATTATCACCAGCTCCGATATCCCTTCAAGCTAGGCAGCCTTAGCGCGAAGCTGTCATTAATTTTGTTTTAGAATTTTGCACGTGTGTATACAAACACACACATACAACCAGGTTTTTCTTCTATACCTTTAGCACAACTCCATAAGAGCATAGAGGATGTTAGTAAAAGATTATTATTAGATATTATATTATGATTAGGAAAGCGACCCAAGCAAGAAACTAGATAGGCTGCTTCTTTCCTTCATGTTGGTAATAGCTGCGTTAACGCTGTACCAACTCACCCAATCACATACGAACAGGCGCACGAACACCCATAAAGTATGGCCGGAACCCAACCCCTCCTCTTCTCCCTATTAAAACAAAAACAAACAGCAACAAGACTTTTGGCTGCGTCTCTGGTTATCCCCGGGCAATCTCAGTGGGCGGCACATAATTCGAGCCGACAGACATCAGGCATTGCGTGCCGGTTCTGTGTAACATGAAGTAAAAGGCTGCAATAAGCAGCCTGTCACTCGCGTTGAGCTGAAACGATAAGAACCACTGGTATAGTTGTTGTACCTCATAGGCCGTGTGATCTCGGCTCTCAGAAGAAAAACCGGGGCAGAAAAAGGGCTGGCTTTTGGGAAACGATATAGGAACGGAGCCGCGCCAGGTTGGCTCTGCAGTAGTGGCCGCTTTAGCTCCTATTTCGATGACGCCGGGCGGCCAGCCTCCTCAGGAATGGAAGCAGTGTGCGTCTTATACGAGATTGCCTCGCCATAGTTGCCACGGAAACGCTGTTTTAGTTTTGCAACATACACCGACGCTCAGTAATGAAAGTTGGCTTCTTGTTTTTTTTTACATTCTAAAGCCACAGTCAAAAGTGAGAAAACGCAATACCAACCAGCCCGA